TATATATATATATATATAGTTTTCGTAACAAATTTTGTTTATGTTTTTAATTTTTCGTGGTATTCCTTACTTCGTCCTTTGTAACAATACTTTTAAAAATTTAGGTATGTATAATATTGTCAATGTAAGACATTTAAAAAATACGCGAATATCACTAATTGTAAGTAGACTCATTGATGAAGCGAAACACTATGCAGGTACTACTACAACGTTTAATACTCTAAAAAAAAATAGTACCATAAAGTGTCAATATCATGCACTATTTAGTCAAAATTAAGTAATTCCTGTAAATGCTAAAATTATGTGAATGTATATTAGAATAACGAACTCTCTTATTAAAATACAATAATATTTATTAAGTATTTCCCGATATCTTTCAAATTTACTAATGTCACAGACTATATTTAATTAATAAGGAAAATTCAATAACAAATGATCTGTTTTATAATTATTTATTTACAAAAGCTTCCCTATTAATATGTCTTTGATATCATTTTGTTCAATAATTTTAATTTATGTGTTAAAATCGAATATGTTATCTTATTTATAATTTTTGCGATAGCTTCGCATCCCGAGTTTCGAGATTTTAATATCTTAAAACTTTAAATCACCTAGAATTTTTACAACGTTTTTGAAACTTGTTTATATGGTATAATTATATAAAAGAATTATACATGTGCAAAATGTTAATTTGATAATGCGTTATTTTCATTTAATAAATTTTACAAAACTGACTTAATATAGTACACAAAATTTAAATTTATACATACATCACTGAAGTCGATCCGTAAATCAATTTGATATAACAAAACGAACTCAACAACATTAATTATGGATTAATTGTAGCAGATTTCTTTAATTATTAAAATCCTAAATATATCTGCATTTTTTCTACATATTTAATTTCTCTTTATACAGAATACAATATCAGTACTACATTAACAATGTGATTTTTGCATTTATACTTATAGCTTCTGAATACAATGAATAAAGAATTTCCGTGAAAAAAAAATTTGTTCATTGAATATTTGTACATTTACATACTGCAAGTAAGTTAATAATGCGAATTACAATTACAGGATGTTGCAATATTACTGCCATTACTGAAGCGTGTAATGTATTGGATGATAATGAGTGAATAAAATATGTACCTTTTTCAATATTTCATTTATCATTCTCAACTATTATTTTTGTTAAGTGTAAAGGACGCAGCACAGACTTTTGTATACTCGTAACGCACTACATAAGAAAATCATTCAATCAGAATGTTATTCCTTCCATTTCACGGAAAAGAGAAATTGGTTGATTCTCTTATGCACTATGCATTATGCGTTGTGCAAAAGTCTGCTACGACATTACATATGAATGTTAGTATAGAAATAGAAATGAAAATATGCATAAGATATTTTATTAACAAAATTTTTATTCAAATTTTATTTTTTAATAGGTACCTATATTACGTATTTTCTAATGTGTTATCACATCTATACAGTGGCTATTATATATTATAAAAGTTCGTAAAAAGCTGTCGAACTTAAATAACTTTATATGATTATAGATAATACATTTTATACGCATAAATGATTGTATTTACACAGTTTTTTAATTGAAGTATTACAAAATTACGAGAAAAACTCGCATTGTCCTAAAGTGAGAATAGAAATACTGCCAATAGTTAGCAAAAGACATAAATATCTACTCTTGATAGGGATCTTGAACAGCTTGGCGCACATTTTTAAAGAAGACGTATACAAGAGTATACTATCGAGATCTTCGCCTGGAGTGGTTTGATACACGAATGGCCGTATACGTATTTCGTGTCCTACAGCTCGAATCGTGGAGCAGGCATTCGTTAAGCGAGCAGCCTACAAACAAAATGTGTAATATATTTAGGAGATACATATGTATATATAAAATTTATGTATACATATATTGGGTAAATTTATTTGTTTTTTAATCAAAAGTTATGTTAAAGTTAATGGCCTGTAAAATTAATTTGGTTATGTTAAGTTATATAAACAAATTTCGTTAAAATTAAATTCGTTAAAAAATTAAATTAATTTAAATTAATAATTAAGTTTAAAAAGCATTTATTAAAAATAATTGCAATATGGAACGTATAAAGAACTTCGCCCATTTCAACCGTATACAGTTATTAATTATCACGTACTATATAACAAGAATTTTGTTTCACGACATATAGCAGGTGATTTTAATTTTAATAAGGTTCTCTCGTGTAAATTACAAATTCGTAATTAAAAATGCTCCAGCACATCAGATTTTTTGAAAAAAATGGGGTTAAAAGTAAAAAAACGCATATTTGAAATTGTTTTAAAAAAATCGGATATCACAGAAATTCGGATATTAGCTCGAATAAAAGCTTGAATCTTAGCGACAATCGTAAAATAAAGATAAATAAGTAACATGACTAAATTTTTTGTAGTTCAATTTTTTTAAAGAGCGCGCATATATTGTATTGTCTTTCTATGCAGATTAATTTTATTTTGAAAACGCCAAAATCCGATTATAATTATAATTGATTATAGTTAATTTATTCAAATAATTAAGATTTTTTATTACGATTTTTATTATAATTACGTATAATATGATTGTATAATATAATTAAGTAGTTGTAGATCCTCAAACTTCTGTAGAAAGCAGTCTTTTCAAGATGTTATAGTTCATCATCAGAACTATCGAAACTGAAAAACATGTTATTGTAACATCCTCTAGAAGATATGTTTTCAGCAAGTTGACATATTCTAGATATCAAATGAGTAGGCACAGTACCTACAGTGCGAGAACCATTCTTACATATACCATCACTGGGCAAGATGTCCTGAACATAGAAATAAATCTTTTGGGTCGGAAATGAACAAAAAAAATTTTAATATTTTTAACTATATAATAAAAGACTATTAATCAATTACAAGCATCTTGTAGGTATAAATAGCAAAATTATGTATCTCATTAATGAGGTCCTAATAAATCTACAACTATTTTAGCTGTAGGTACTTATGTAGTTATAATCTACTTTTATTTATACTCTATAATTTGACGTACGATTCATCTCTATGCGGATGGGAGAGATTGAGCGGATCAAATCTGTACATAAAATGAGCGAAGGTCTTTAATACTTGTAAATGAAGTTTACATAATAATAATAAAAAGAAGTAGAGAGAGAGTTTAGAAAAAATGTATTTTAAAATTATTTATAACAATAATATAAAAATAATTGTAATTATGTATAAACAATAATAAAGTTATAATAAATCACTACATGAATAAATCCCGATAAAAAATTTTCCATGTATAAATATAGATAAATATGTATAAACATACATAAACACACATAAATATTTATAAACATGTATAATTATATATGAAATATGTCCATACATGTTCATATATCTTTTTTTCCTTTGTAAAATTACTTTTTAGTGTAATAAAAATAATAATAGTAATGTGAAAACATTAAAAGTTATTTGTTTCAGAAAAAATCAAGTTTAAAGAAATGTAAAAAAATTATTTATGTATAATTATATATAAAATTATGCATAATTATGTATGAGCAATTTTTTTACATTTTTCCAAACTTGTTTTTTTCTAAAACAAACAATGTGAACATATTTCATGTATAATTATACATGTTTATGAATATTTATGCGTGTTATATATGTTTATACATATTTATACATATTCATGAATGGAAAATTTTTTATAGGGATTAAATAAATAAAGAAGCTAAATGAAAAACAATTAAGTTAAGTTACAAGTTATTAACTTTTTAACTTTGTTATATATATTCAACTCCTTAACTTCTTAACTAGTTCCCAGATAGCATGCATGTCCAAAACAGGATATAAAATATTTACTAAAAAACATCTTGTATCTCGATTATGGATATATGTGTTTGAATTACTATCCACATAATACAATTCTAGTAAAATATTATTGAAGATAGGAAAAATGTTACACGGTAGTGTTATACCTGTATAAATGGAGCAATTGAAATCAAAATCCATAATACAACATTCATTGCATTAACATATGTAACATGATGACTGTCTCCATTGTTGATATAATATTGAAATAACCATATGATACCCGCGACTGCCCATGACAGATTAACTATAGTATAAATGCAGACAGCTGGGCCTAATTCGTCATTAAAGTATTTCAACAGTTTCTTGAATTCATCGATATCCTGTAAGTCACAAACAAAGGGAAACTAGAATAAACGAATAAATCGATTAAGCCGAATAATAATTAATTCTATAAGCGAACTATAAAAACAATATTAAGATTAGAAACAGGACCGTTTATTTGAATAAATCAACCAAATATGAAGAAGCGCCAATTACAGTCAAAGTTAGACTAATATCATCATCTTAATCCTATTGCTCGTGGCCGAGCGTGGTTACTTCTCTCATATGCCTGTGGTGCGTACGTTGATTGTACACAGTCATATGGGACCTACTCTGTTTAACGTCGATTCCGAACGACGATTTTTGTTAGAGAAGTTCTCTTGGTAAAGATACTCTCGATGGTTTGCCATTGCTTGTCGAGAGCTACGAGCGTTCGATAAATTTTTTGGTTCTGCCTAGGATAGAACTCCGGATCTCTGGCATAGCAGTCTCATACACTGCCGCTACGCCACGCTCGCATTCTAGATTAATATATGTGTATTTTAAATAAATTTATCTTAGAAATGACTGCGTGCCGATTGTTTTCGGTTTTTCAATACAATCAATCTGAAATATTAATAATTACCCAGAGGTAATATTTTTCGCAATAAATTCTTTACAGATTTCGAGATTATAGCCGTGTTCATAATGGCGTTTACAATGTTTTAAGCGTCGTTTCATTTTTGTTGTTTTTAAATATTAAACAAGGACAATTGATGCTCACAAGCGCCGTGAGCGCCAAACGAACGCAGCCAACGTTAGTAGCATCAAATAAAAAATCTAATTAAATAATTATTTGTTTCAGATTGAGTGTTAAAAGACCGAAAGTAATCGGCGCACGGTCATTTCTAAGATTATATATATATATATATACATATATGTGTATATTAGTTTAACAGCATCTAACTTTTTGACTTAATTGGCGCTTCTTTGTATTTAATTGATTTATTCAAATTACAAAAGTCAATTCAAGGCGACAATAAACTTGCGGTAATCAAAAGTACGAATAATAAAATAATTATTGTTTTTTTTAACGATCTCCAATTTGATTCCTTGTGCAGAAGATTCATCAGTTAGTATTTTGAAATTTACGTTTAATTATTGCTTTAAATGAATATTTGATTAATTTAGTTCGTTGCTCTGATAAAAACAATTCTCATATTTTTAAGAATTTTACATATTTTACACTTATATCAAAATTTAAAAAAAATTAAACTTTTCAGATCTTATAACTTTTCTTCAGAAATTATAAAATAAAAAATCTTATCACTCACTCACTCACCCACTCACTCATCCACTCACTCACTCACTCACTCACTCACTCTCACTCACTTATACACACTTTATACTTCACATATGTAAAGAATTCTAAAAAAGATGTAGATTTTTCATCATTCTTAAAAATGTTTCAATTCATATAAAAAATTTTAAGAAATTTCCTAAAAAGTCATAAAATGATATGGAAATGGTAAAAAATTTATATATTTATACAGTAGTTCTGAAGAATTATATAAATTTTTTTTTAATTTCAAATTTTTATGTGAACGGATAAACGTATAGAAACATTAGGAATTACATTATAAATTACAATATAATATAAAATATCATAATATAGAACATCAAGTTAAAATTGATTTCAAATTGAAGAATCTTTTATGTGTATAAGAAGTCAAAATGAGACTCCTTAAATTGTAAATTGTGTACGTAAGGAAAAAAGATAATCATTTTATCACACGTACGTTTATACAGTAATGTAGTGAAACAGTTTGTGCTTGAAACAATTCCTACTGGCCTTGCAATTTTGATATTTGTTCATTTTTTCTTCAAATGTAAAATAAAAGATTATATTGTATGCAATAAATCGCAGACCCTCATCCAATCGATAGGCAGCAGAACATGTTGAAGCAGCTTTCCGCGTAAAAAGTAAAGATGTGACATCAATAGCTGCCCTTGCAGACAGTAGCTTGTTATAATGGTTCCTTGGACCATATCGTGCCATAAGGTGCAGATGATTAGGAATACTTTTAACACTATTTTTACTTGATATGGACTGTAGAGAGGAGACAAAATATGAATATTTTAATTTAATTACCCTTCCGAGCAACATTCCGTTCAGCATGGACTATTTGTAACTATTATGAGTAATCACCTATTTTCCATCCATTGAAACACAATATTTCTTTCTGCCATCTGAATATTCACTGTGACCAGTGCCATGATTATCCATACTATACTTAATGCTATGAATAACCATAGTATGTGTACAAGACGCTTTTGATTGCCATGATTGATCGGATTCGAGGAGAGCAGAAACGCTCTCTCCATTAGATTCTGCAGTTGCTCGTTTTCCTTGACGCGAAATAAATATATCGTATATAAATACGCTACTAAATGTAATATACTTGGGATTAAATAGCTGAATATCACATTTCCATAACAGGACGGTTCCTGCGTCTGTTCCTCGCTGACATCTAGTCTATTTTGTTCCAAGGATACTTTGTAACAGAATCCTCGGTCTCGTCTGAAAACGGTAAAATTATTTTATTTTACCACTCATTTTATTATAGCACTTAAAAATCGAAAATAAAAAGTGAATTAAACAATATTAAACAAATATATAAAATGAGGCTCGAAAGAATCTATCAGTGAAAAATATAAAAAAGCCCATCAGAGCCTACATCGGCTGTTTGGATGCACAGAAAACTCTTTATTTTTGTGTGAATGTAACAAAACGAATAAAATAAACGAACTAAATTATCGGGAATCACCATCTTGGAATTTGCGTTACTTATGTAATTTTGATTTATATTTTATTGATAAGGACCCGAATTAAAGGGTCGAAATTTAACGTTTATTTTATATTTCTGATGGGCTTTTTTTATATTTTTCACTGATAAACAATATTAATTACAAAGGCTTTAGGAGTCAACACGAAAAACGATGCGCAAATTTTCTTATAAAAAGATCTTTAATTCACATTAGCCAATATCAGACGAATATTTACAAAATTACGTAACTACTGAATGGCTCGAACTTGAGCTGTAACTTAAATTTGTGATTATTTGATTGATGTTAACTAATGTAAATTAAAGATTTTTAAGAAAATTTGCACATCATTTTCCGCGCTGACTCCTTTTTATTTTTATTTTTAATTCATATTGCTTAAATTTCGAGAAGTCCATATTTAATTTTAATTATTTTTAATTGTGAATTAAACAAGTTAATAATACATTAAAATGTAGAAGAGATAAAAAAATCTTATGATATAGTTACATATATACACATATCGCATGATATAATTACATATACAGGGTGAGGTACTTAAATTGAGATTTAAATATCTTGAAAAGAAAAAGTATTTTAGAAAAAAATATTCCAAACAAAAGTTGCATTATCTGAAGGGCGACAAATAATGGTGAAATGAATCGATTTTCGAAAAAATCGATTCAAGATCTTATAAAGATTATCTCAATTTTTTAAATATTACGATATGATTTGTTTACGTAATATCCCTCTAATTATTCTGCATATAAAAATATTAAGGTACAGTTGTCACAAAATCAAAATAGTTCACGAGCTTATACTTTATTCTGATACATTTTAATATAAAATATAAGATATTTCGCAAAATATTTATTTTTATGTATTTTTACTTTATAATAGTATTTTATACTTTATATAATTTATTTATATTACATATCTATTATGTATATAGAATAAAATAAATCAATTTATATGAAAAAAACAGTTGCTTGTAAAAAAATTATGCAATTTATAATATAAAACTACATAGTTTTTTAAAAAGCAAGTGTTTTTTGTCCATTATGTGCATATATTATAATATATATAACACATAAAACATGTAAATAATTTAATTTATTATAATGTATATAAATATATACACATGTGTATATATATATATATACAATATATATATAATATATCCTTTCTATGTATATATATTGTATATATATATATATACAATATATATATAATATATCCTTTCTATGTATATATATTCACTTATAATTTCCACTTTATTGAGAGATATAACACATGTAAAAATAGGATAATAAATTACCTGAAGCAAGCCATGTATTGTAAAATATATCCAATACATATAAATATAGTAACTTGAATTGTATGAAGATTCGATAAAATCGAACATCGTAGAAAATGATCGGAGTCATCACTGTTAGTTGGTCTTAATCCCATCACTCCTAATAACCTCAGGTAAGGTCTCAATATTTTATGTTTACAATAATGAAGTACAGCTGATGTACTGATGAAGTTCTCATAATCTTCCGTAATTTCATCTACTTGCTGTACAACAGACAAATCGTGTTAATTTAAGACACAATAAAATTCCATATTATATACTATAAAACTTACATAATAAGACAAAGAATTGTATATTATAAAATTATTCTAACAATACTGCTTACATCTGTGCTTTGAAAAGTTGTTATACTTGTTAATATAGATGGTACGAAGATCTCCGTATATTCTTCACGATTTTGTTGAGGTAGATTTGTATCATTCTTATATTTATTATTACAGTCTACCTATGAATGGTATTCATTGTATTTATTTCAATAAATGTCATAAAATATTTCAAGAAAAAAATTTTTTTTAAATAGTGAAGATGTGTGTATGCATGCGTACGTATGCGCGTATTTGCATGTATGACGCATGTACGCACTGAAATATAACTTTTATAAAAATTTCACGAGAAAATTATCTCACCGATATAATAGTTTTATAAAATAAAATTATAAATTATAATGTAACGAGGAATTAATTTTTCATATATGACTTTCTAAATAATTTTGAAATTATATCGACTTTTTTCTAAAGGAAATACAAGAAATAAATTTAATTGCTTAATATATACCTATTATTGAAATCAAAACAAGGTTCTGCTATTACTAAACATATTAAGCATAAAGATTAACAAGTTGGTACAATTAAGGAAGGTTACATTTCGATCTACTGTAACATCTCATGTGCAAAGTTTTAAGATTGCACGATCTATTAATTGGGTTTATGGAAAAATCAGTTTAATCAATTAATATAGTAATAACTCACCGACGCCATTTGAATATTTTTAGCCAAGTAGTGCACTGTTTTCGAACTTGGAAAGAAAATATTTATATCTCTCAATAGTTCGACATGTGGCTCACTCTACATATGAATATAAATTATATCAGTTTGCCAAGATGACATTTCACCTTTGCTCAGAGATATTCACGTGCATCACGGTTAAGCAAGTCACTACGTTTGTAAGAACACGGCGCGCATTATAAAGCGAAGTAACAAGTAAAAATAAATTTAAAAATTTATATATTTACAGTATTTTAATACAAAGATATTAATAAATTAACATTTTTATTTTTAATATTAATATTTGTAAATATACATAAATGTAAATACATTAACGTTTCTTCCTTAAAATACTTCCTGCGGGTCGTAACACATTGTATTCTATTCTGCGACGTTTTATTTCTGGATGTTGTTTTTTCTACAAAAAAGAAAATAAAAGACAATAACATAAAGTATGTTTCAATCTGTAATTAAATTGAATGTTAGTGGATATACTTTTCTAATGACAAAAGTCATCTCTCTACTACCACGCGAACCGGAGACTTTTATATTATGCGTTTCTTCATTTTCCAATCTTGCACCGAACGTCGCCCTGCATAGAATATAACATAATTTTAAATGATTCGAAGTCCAAAATGCATAATACTTAATAAAACAAGACAAGATCAGTATTGTTCTGTACTTATTCTGTTTTTTCTTTTGCGGACCGCCATCCTCGAACTTGACTTGATCTTTAATTTTATCCATCTTCAATTCATACTTTGGAATCGGGTTAATATTGTCTTCATTCTGCTGTTCCCTTTCTCTTTCAGTTTTCTTTATTAATCGATAATTCTTTTGAACTTCTTTAACCCACTGTTTCTCGTCATCTGAGCTATCATTGTCGGAACTGTCGTGAATAAAGCTCTCATCAGAACTATTGCCTTTAAAAGAAAAACATGTATAAGAAAATTTGTATATATGCATACATGTATGTGTATATATATATATATATATATATATATGTACATGTATATACATATATGACATGTGTATATATACATATATATGACTCCAAAGAAAAAAACATTACTTTGAATTTTTTTACCATTTGATTTATCCTCATAAATTTTATCTTCTTGTTTCTCTTCTTCTTCATTTGGCACTTGTCGTTTCAATTTTTTAACTTTATTTTTAGCAAGTTGGGAGACAACAGGATTTAATAAAGCGTATTCCTCGGAGTTTTTATCTACTTGGAAATCAGGATTGTTAAAGAGAGCTTTAAATCGTTCGTCTTTCAGCAGATTAGAAGACGTTTGTTTCTTTTTATTATTAATATTTGCATTCCCCATCAGTTTCAACGCCAACTCCTGATTCACACTTGGTAACTTTTGTATCTGTTTTTTATTTTAAAAAATAGATTATGTAAATTAATAAAATTAATATTAATTATTGAAATATATGAATTGAAAATAACTTGATACATTAAGTATCTATACAAAAATAAAATCAAATTAAAAAATACTTGTACTCTGCTGACGGCCTCCTCTTTAATCCTGTCACGAATTCTCTTTTTTTTGTATTCTTCAAATTCAAATGGTTTCATTGCATCCCTTGCTTTCCTATATAATCGGATATCCATAAAATAGCCGTGCATATAAGCTCTGAGTAAATTAGTGCCCTTCAAATGTGAAAGACTTAATTCGTCCAATTCCTTATCGGTTACAAATTTGTAATCATCATAGATGATATCATAATTCAGTTCTTCCAATTCCTCCGTAAGATTGTCAAGGAAACTGCACCAGTATGGGGCAGGGCCAAGACTGGGAATGTAATATACTTGCATTTTCACACTTTCATTAGCTGTCAGCAACATACCACTGTTCGGTATGACAGATAAATCATTGAAATTATGTTGAGCTTCTATAGAAGTATAAAGTTTACCCTAAAAAAAAAAAATAATTTTGAGATTCCTGTTGTACAATAAAACAATATTTTACAGCTTACATTTGACTTACAGAGACGAAATATGTGATTCCAATTCTGTCTTTTTAATTCTAGAATAATTTCAAAATTCTTTTTCTTGAAAACGAAGCTTCAAAAAGTTTATCATTTTAATTTATTTTAAATTATAGAATAGATTTCGTTATTATATCGCATAATTTGACCCTGTAAAGCTCAACTTTAAATAAAGTAAATCTTACTCACACTATCCTTCTTCCATATTTTTACAATGGAACTGTCCATGGAATAAACAAGATCCATCTTTTGGTGGAAATCTATACATTTGATCGGTAATCCGTACATATGATCTTTAACTAAAAGTGGTTTATTAGATCTTATATCATATATCAATACATGTCCAGTTGATGTACCAACTCCTAAATTCAATCCTCCTTGAAATTTTAAGGCAGTAATTGCGGGAACTGTTTCCAATCTGATTTAAAAAAAGATTAATGTATTAATCTGAATATTAGATTCCAATAAAGAGTAAATTCTATTGTTATATCTTACTTCTCTTGAGTAATGCAATGTAGGACACAATCAAGTACGCCTACTTTATTCCTCACTCTCGGATCCCAAGCTTCTATTTTTCCTTCCTGAGTGCCAACTGTGAGTAAATGATGCAACGGATTTATCTCGCACTTATTTATCGTTGTTGCTTCCGTTTCAAACGATTGCAAAAATTGACCACGTTCGAGATTTATCCTATATATTTTATTACTGCAAAAACACAGGTTTCATAATAATTCTTTTTCATCTTACAAGAGACGTTTTACAACTGTTCGGAACCGATTTAATTCACCTTGAAACATGTTGTTAAACACAAATATGTAAAAGATATGTATTTTATACGTATTATATTTTTTTATACGTTTGGAAACTCATGTTTAAGGGGTGAAATCACTCCTTTGAAAAAAAATCTGCTTTTCTCTTTCAGGACAAATATCGTCAAAAATATAAGAAAAAAATTTTTTTAACAAAATTTATTTCTTTACCATTTTAAAGTACTTTTAAAACCACAAGTTTCGCTTAAAAAATTTTTTTGTCTTTTACACTTTCAACGATATTTGTCCCGAAAAAGAAAAATCGTTTTTTTTTTTTTCGAAGGGATGTTTTACTCCTTAAACATAAGATTTTGCATGTATAAAAAAATACGTGTCTTTTAAATTTTTATGTTTAGCAACATAGGATCCATTTCGAGGAGAATCAAATTGGTTCCAAACAGTTATGAAACATCCCTTGTTAGATACACAGGGTGATTTGTATAAAGTGACTGATTTAATTATTAGTGAAAGAAGATATATGAAAAAGTAGTTTATACCAATGTGTTCAGTACAAAAGGAGACATAGTGGAAACAATTATTTTATGAGTAAAGGCCCACACACACACATTGGGAACATTTCAAGATTTCATTCATTTTTTTTAATGAAATAAAATTTTTCATTTCATTGTTTGACAATCCCTTTTAAGATAAGTTAATGTTTAACAATCCTTTTTAAGACAAGATAATTCGTGGATATATTACACAAGGATATTCAAGGTTAAACTTGATCACAAATTTATAGTAAAATAAAATAGCCTCAGTGGAGAAGTGTTATTACTCAGTGTAAAATTAGTCGTAGTACTGAGCATAATGGCTAATTACAGTAATTTACAAATTGTGGATAACTTTCAGTGAATGTAGAAAATATGCAGCTGCAAGAGTATTAAATGAACGATATCCAGATAAATATAGTTCCAGTTCAATATTACGGATTATGTCATGAGCACAACACAATTTCGTATATTACACGTAAGAAAAAAACCTTCTCTCACATTATAGATGCATATCAACGTTTATAGCGCTGTAAGCATTATTTGTCCTTGCTTAATATTTTATAGACAACAAGGATGAAATAATGCTTATAGTGTGAGCGTGAAAACGTCACCCTCCCGAGTAAACCCGGGGTCTCGACCTTTTTTGAACACCCTTTATGCACGCACGCATACACACATCTTTATACCGTAAATTTAATCAAATAATGATCATAATATTATGTAATTGCTTAAGATTTCTAAAACTGACCTATCGCCCACAATGAAAACATCACATGATGGGTAATGATATTTTAGATCCCTTCCAAAGTTTGGTACTCTGAGCTTATAATACTTTCCATGAGCAGCATGAAACTCAACGCTACGATCGCATTGCAGAAATACTATCTAAAAAAAACCGTGATAAATTCAATAAAATTATTTTGATTCTAGTCAATCTTTATATTAGTAGCAAGCAAAAAAATGAGTTACTTAAATTCTTCATTATACTTTATTTTCTAGTACAGTTATGGATGTCGTTTTTTAATGTTATTCAAAAATACACAATCACAGAATACATATTAGAAGATTTAATTGTCAGGCATAAATTTAAAAAAGTTATAAAAAAAACTAATTTTTACGAAAATCAGATTTTATTAATTTTCTTTTCTTTGTCTATACAGAAACTTTAATTACTAAAAAAACAGTTATAAAAATATATTATACATATTTAGTCATACATTTTGATCACCGTATGATATCTATTTTGTGTACCATCAATCGTTTTGTCCTTATCAGTGAAAAAGTATTAACTTCAAAAATTATGTTAGATATGTCCAACTTCATATCATAAAAATTTCTTTCAAATATTTCCAATTTAATACTATAATGTATCATAAAAAATTTATTATACTGTTAAATAACATGGCCAACAATATGAATAAAGTCACCATTTTTGCTATTATATTCATTATTTTAATTAATAACTGAAAATTTAAAATAATAGAACATGCACATGCATCTACGTACTTTGTATAAATTATTTTACAAATTTTCAACAATTATACTTACTTTGCTGTAGTCATCCGATATTGTTTCAAAAGTAACTATTTCAGAATCAAAACATCTCTCAAATTTCAATGCCAAATTGTGTACATCAAAACATTTTACACGTGGTTTATAAATCCCTGTTGCAAGAATGTATTGCTCATCTTTAGAAACTCTAATAGATGTGCTTATGCCAGGCATGTCAAAGTCTTGTATAAGTTCGATACGTCGTCGTATATCTGATAATAAATAAAACATCAGATATATTTGGAAATAGAAGAGCCATAAATATCTCATTTATAAATTTCTATTTCGACTTTGATAAAGATGTACTTCTCTTTGTTTTCTTTTTGCAAAAAAAAAGATTTAAAAAAAAATTATCATTTCTTATTAACATAAAAACAGTAATTATTAAAATTATAGATTCAAATTAAGTAATTAATTGCAAGGTTCAGTAACTGTCTAAATAAAATCCTATACTTGTTTTATTTGTTGTACAGAACAAAATTTGTTTAAAACTGTTATTCATATTTCACTACTTCTTACATGTCAACAATATCCTTTTATGACACAAATGAATTACATAACATTACAAAAACGAATATTTTTTAAGTATTCATATATTTATTTTAATGCCGATTGACGATTTTTATTTTTCAAATTTTGTTTTTGATATAAAAAGAAAACAAGAAATTAGCTAAAATATTATAGAAATAATAATAATAAAAATTCGCTAAAATATAGATAAAAAATTTAAACTAAATATTTATATTTATTTGCATGTTTATTGATCTAATTCTTACCGACATTCTTCGATAAACTTCTTCGTTTTCGTTCAGATAACCACTACAAAGAATAAAAATACACGTTGAGATGTTATACTTAACCTAAAACGAACTTACACACAGTATAAACAAAATTTTACCTCAGGAAGGGATTTTCCAGAGCTGAGATTATAAATTTTTATATTATTTGGTGCGGAAACCTGCATTCTGGCTTTTATGTAACTACATAAAAAAATACTTTAAAAATCATTATCCAATTCCCACAATCTATCTCTCCAGCTAGAGCATCGTGGAATCAGAATTTTATCAGATTTCACCATGACCATGGTGGAAGCAGTGTTGCCAAATCTAGTTAGCCGGCACCTACCAGAAACTTCAATAGAATCTATTAGAAATTGACTAAGGGCTTGCGCACAATAGAGGAACAAGAATTAGATATTAAGATTTCAACCTATCAGAAACCGTGTATTCCGATGTAATCAGTTTCTGATAGGTTAAAATCTTAATATCTAATTCTTGTTCCTCTATTGTGCTCAGGCCCTAAGGGTGCCGTCACATGCGGCGTAACCTGCGTAAGCATAATTTTTAGTAATTTACTAGAATACGTTATTTTTTATTTACTAGAATACGCCATTCTGAAAGCCTGCATCACATTGAGCGTATTTCGTGGAAGATTAGAGAAATGCGGAACTAATGCAACCAATTGCTGATTAGAATTTTTGTTGTACACTCTAACAGAAATGCTAAATGAATTCACGATTGGTTTTCGTAACCTACGCTAATCTCGAAAAGTACGCCTCATGGGGAACCGGTACCTTTCCATCGCGTATACAGGGTGTTTGGCGACTACCGCATTTTTTGTCATACATGGGTAGAACAGCCTATACTGAATCAAAAAGTCCTGTACCATTTTGCGGTGTCAGCAATAGTTAACGAGATATTAACGTTTAAAAGATAGCCAAATACGCGCGTCCCCCCGACCTACTATTGCCGAAGGCACAGCCCACCGA